TTTTCGTAAGTCAATACATTTTCTGTAAGACCAAAACTCTTGATGATTTGTAAACGCAAAAATAACTTGGAATAAACTGATAATCAGTATTGTACAGATAAAAGCAGGTATAGTATAATTTCAATTAAGAAACGTTTCAATTTGGGACAGTTTTTTTGATTGGTTACCCCCAAAAACGCAAGGCATTATGGGGATGTGAAAGTCGAGAATACAAAAATTTCCGGATACGTGTGGACGGGGCCTTACTAAATGCATTTCAAATGGAAAGGAGAGGGTATGCGTTCAAAACTATCAGAGTTCAAATCATGATCTTTGACTTAGCTGTTCATGGCAAGGGGTTAATCATCTACGATCCAGAAGATAATTTTTGTGGAGGGAGAACATAATGTATATGCAAAAATTTTGACACTTTTATACAATTATATCGAAAGAATGATTTACAATTTGTTTTCAGCTATTCATAAACTCTATTTACAGTTCCACTGTTTTCTCTCTCAGTGTTTATAGCACCTACGAAATAATCTGTATAAGCTTGCACTAATGTCCATTTACAGGCTGAGATTCCTGAAGTTGACTGATTCCCAAATCTGTCCACTTTTCTTCTTGTTCCTTCAGAGATTCCACAGTACCACTATCTAGCAGATCAAATTCATCAAACAAATGAAGTCAAATATCTTAAAGGCCCGCTTTTGCAACGATTTGATGTACGTTGTTTGAGGCGATTTTAAGTTATTGTCAGATATGGTAAAGGTTTACGTTTTAGCATTATTCCAGACACCAACATTACCTAGACAAAATGTCTATTTAGATGCATAAAAAAATTCTTATATTTTCAAAAATCGCACCTCAAATCGTCGCAAAAATCGACAGTGTAAATCGCCTTAAAGTGCACCTTACCCCTGATACAATACTTTCAGTATTGATTCTACATAATGTAAATAGTTGAATGGTGAAATATTTCTTCATTTGAATGTTGCTTATTTAAGTTATGAAGGTTTATACTCTTCCAATATGTTAATGCTGTGACGTCACCCCAGGCTTCACTAGATATACACATTTTGACTGGTTCATGCGAACACTTTTTAAAAAGAATCATCATTAAACTCAAGGTTTCTACAATGTTTATTGTAAATCAGATGTCTCATAATGGCTAGTGTTTAGTATTAGAAATTAAAATAAATACACTCAAAAGCCTGGGGTGACGTCACAGTCAGCAACGTAATGGAAATATAAACCTTCATAACTTAAAGACGCAACATTCAAATGAAGAAGTATTTCACCATTCAACTTTTCACTTTATGTAGAATCAATACTGAAAGTATTGTATCGGGGGTTAGGTGTACTTTAAGGTGGCTTGGTCCATAACGTCTTTTACACAAGCTATCTTTTTTAACAAAAAAAACTCCAAATAAAAAAATGGCTTTCCTTTTATCGACATAGTATTGCAAAGGTAACTTTATACAGCTATTTTAAAATACATTGTCGGTCTGAGATCAGTAATCTGCGATATGAATAAATGAACTAAATTCATTTTTGTCAATGGATTGTGAGCTGTGAGTTGTGAAAAATATGTAGAAAAGTGCACATAATTGTTTTTCTTCTTAATTTAGTAGTTTGCAAGTTAAAATCTAAATAAAATTATGCAACCAGCTTTGAGAGATGACCTGCGCTGGCGAATTGTCTCAGATTTCTGATCTCCAACCGACGTTTTTTTAAAAAATAGATGTACAGTATGTGATCAGTTTGTAACAACATACACTTTAGGGCCAAATGTAAGATTAAAAAACTCATGGATAATTAAAAAAGGAAAACACAATAGAAATCATTGTCCGTGGAGGAGGTTGTATATCTGATACAAAATCGTCCTGATTTGCATAAACTTTAACTCCAATTTTCTTAGCCAAATTCAATTTTTTCTTTAAAATTACAGTAGAACATGAATGTATACACCTAGACGTTTCATAAGTAATATACAATATTCGTGTCTGTGTTGTATCAGATATACAATCACTCGCCTTCGGCTCGTGGTCGTATATCTGATACAACACGGCCACTCATGCTGTATATATTAATAACTCACTGGGTTAATACGTCACCCTCTTTAAATAAAGTTTATTGATTGATTAAGGTTCATGTTACTTTTTGGTGACTGATATATTGGTTATTTATGAAGGCCCTATGTGGCACGAAGAGCTAGGAGAAGATACAACTGTAGGTATTGGTTATCAGTGTTTAGTAAAAATGCACAGGTGATTATAGAAAATCTCGTGCGCTGATTGGTCGAGAAACTAACACTATCACACGATAATCACCTCGAGCGATAATCCAAAATGCCGGCCAGCCGCTTTGTTGCTGTTACCAGAAAAAAATGTCTTTTATCTTCTTTTCCTTTTTTTGAAAGAATCATCTGTGTATTTATACTAAAACAATTATTTGCCTCACCCTCAGTGAACATCAGGGAATATTTACCTCGCCACTCGAAGACTTGCGTCTCGGTAAATATATCCCCGATATTCACTTGGCCTTTGGCGAATAATTGTTAAATAATTGTCCTTAAATTCCACTTAGAAAACTCCTTAATAATTCATGAAGGAAACACAATAGGAATCATGACCATGAAGGTGATTTTATATCTGATATAGATTCGTCTTCATTTGCATAAACTTTAACTTGGATTTTCTCTATCAAACTTGGTCCATTTCGTAAAGTATTCTGTACAATATGAAAACATCCATCATGAGTTTTCTAAGCCGTTTAATAAACTCACAGATCGTGTTTTATCGGGTCTAAAACAACTCGGCTACGCCTCCTGTTTTATACCCGATAAAACACTCCTGCTCGTTTATTAAACATTACTTATACTAAAAGCTTCATGTTCTAAAAGCTTATTAAGCCACCTTAAGCATATAGGGTCACCGTATCGGATGTAACATATAATTACTGTATTTACTCTAGTTTACTCTCTGTCATATCTCTGTCCTCTTTTGAAGAAGAAATTATATGGGTCCACTCAAAGGAAGGATGGAAGGGAAAAAGGAATAAATCAGTAAAGAAATAAAGCTGAAGATAAACGTGTACTCACTGTCAGTATCATCTATTGGAGGGAGCTCAAACTCTGGTACAGCTATCTCTGAAACCAGAAAGGTGGCACACACAAGATAAAAACGTAAGGTAGATATAAAGAGATTGATACACACTGAAAATATTGGCTTCATTTTGCATAGTCAGCAGTAAGATTGGTCTAATGCCAATTTTTTCTGTCTCCTCCCTTCTCAGATTCCTGATGAGTTTATAATATTTCCACTGGTTAGTGTCAGTGTGACAGGATGTCAGGTGGAGGACTGACCGGTTGTCATGGTTACCTCCTTGCCGCCAGAGAGTACCATATCCCTTGTGGTGACATCAAGGCACCCAAGCCCATCCTTATAGATGCTGATAAGTTTAGTTGGAAATTAAAGTGCTTATGAAACCAAATTTTCACCTTGTACTTTATTATGAAATATTAAAATTCATGAGTTTTTAATTATAAAGGTGTTTTTTTTGTTTTTTTTTTGAAATTCAGTTTTTGAGAATACTTTTTTTTGCCTTCGAAAACTGACAGTGAGTACCAAAAAGTATCAGGTTCCTGGGACCTAATCTTTAACAAATAGACATCAGCTTTTTGTGTCTGTCCTCTTATTGACAATGAATTGCGTCATCACATTGTCAAAGTAGTGTGGATTCACGAGGCGTAGCCGAGTGGATCCGCATACTACTTTGACAATGTGATGTCGAAAATTATCGTCAATAGTAGGTGAGACACATAAAAAACTGATGTCTATTTGTTATTTACAATAACAAAAACAATAAAAACTTCTCACTTTTAGTGATCAAAACAACCAACGTAAAGAGCGCGCGCTCATTGACGTCAGCTTTATCTGTCTGTCCTCTTATTGATGATAAAAAATAACCAATCAGCGATTGAGAAATTTGTAAGTTATTGTAAAAACCTGTTTTGATGATGTCACTGTGAGGCTGCTGCAATTCTTGACAGTTCAGTTGTAGTGTTGAAGTGCTTATTTCTTGTCATAGTTTTTGTACTTCCAAGCATTTTTGACTAATCAAAATCCTAATGCAAGGACGAGTATAGCTAGTGTGATGATCAGACAGAAAAATTTTAATTTTGAAAGCATTTTCAGACTTATTAAACAAAGACGAATCTTGTGCAGATGACTGGAATTTCATTTAGAAAAGGATGAAAATGGCCCTACGGTAGATAGCTTAAGTTTACTTTAAGACAAAATCAGTCAATCCAGTTCTAAACCTGATGTGCTTTCTGAGATAGATCACAAAGATCTTCCAGAAACAACTTTTAAGCAATCTTCAAGTAGGATAAAAAATGTCTTACACATGAGAATAGACAGAAGTTTTTGGAGACAAAAATATGTTTATTGCAGAGTTAAATTGGAAGTTTGTGTAGACGTCAAGATTAGTACCCCATTCACACCTAAACGTGTTTAGTTAAACTATGTTTTCATTAGGAAAAAAATTGAGAAACTACAAACCTACAATATAATGAAACTTTCTAAAATATTGTCAGAGCAAGACAAAGGATAGTTTACATGTATTGTTTCACCAAAGATTGTGCATTGTTCGTAGATAGTTTTCCAAACCTATTTAGTTAAACCACTTTAAAACGTGTTTAAGCCTTGGCGTGAATGGGGTATAGGCTTTTTATAGCTTTTGATGTTATTCAAATATCATTTTAAGGCCATGAGTTTATCAGTATTACCGTAAACATGTACCTGTAGCGACGAGTCCTCACAGTGACATCACATATTTCCTTCGACCACACAAAAACAACGAAAAAAAAAATTTCTCAAAAGCTGAATAAAATTAAAGGCGCTCAAGAAGCGCATGTGGTTAGTCCAAAGAAGTAAAATAAAAGGTGTGAGGACAGGAGAGATCATACTAAAGTCTTCCAAAGTCATTAATAATTCATGATTTCAACCATGTGGTCAGAACAGAACAAGGAAATGAACTTGTATATAAAATCAAGAAAGGGTATTTCCCATGAACTTTAAAAATTTGTCAAAAGTGAAACGTAAATCCTCAGTGTACATACATGGGAAATTATGCGCATGATCAGAAGGGCCTAAGGCAGTTTTCATAGCTTTCAATTTTTGTACATCTTCGATTATTTTATTTAAAATTTTTGGTTTTATTAGTGTTGGAGGTTCTTAATGCCATATAAAATATTTGAACCATGTGTTTTATTAAAAACTTTTACATTTGAATAAACACTGCTGCTCGTTGAACAACTGTTTTCATTGATCTTTGTTGTTCAGTTTTAAATCTGCTGCATATAAGGAAGAACCTATTTATCACATGATTGCAAAGAAATGGAAATAGTTTTAAGACAATGTTGCCTTGTTGATTGGCAGAGTTAAAGTGCCGAGCAACTGGTTTAGATAAATCTTTCTTGCGAATGTCGTAAAGGTGGTCTCTAAAACGATCACCTAATCGGCGGCCAGTTTCTCCAACATAGAGCATGTTACAGCGTGAACATTGAATGCAGTAGATGACGTTAGAAGAAGTACAATTAATTTCATTGGCCGTTGCCTTAATGCTAAAGTTATCCCTGTTGGTTTTCGCGTCAATTTTAGTCCTTCCAATTTTGGTGTAGGTTCTACTAAGTACTTTTTCGATGTGTCATCGGCGTGCAATTCATTTTCTCGTTCAATCATGCGTTCTACTATTCGTGCCATGTGTATCAAACGTAACATTTTGTCTCGAGACATTGCAGCTTGCGTTCTCAGTCTTTCCGACGTTTGTCCTGCCATCTTAGTTAGTTCCATTCGCCATAAAATTCACGAACTTAACAGTTCTTTGTATCAAAGTTTATGCGCACTCAAAAGCCGCAAATTCGCTGCTCTTTTTAATAACGCCTATAATGTTCTTGCTAATGATGTTAATTATGTTGAAAGTAATGATGTTGTTGGTGTATRTAATGATTATGAAGTTGCAATTAATAATGATTCAGTTGTCAATAATGATAATAATGTTGTTAATAATAATATGCCTAATGCTCCTTCTGACAACAACCTTGTTGTCAACGATCATAATTCTTCGGGGTATCTTTCCAATGACAACAATGTTGTCAACAACATTTCTCRTCACGACGATCGATCTAGTCATACTTTTCAAGATAAAAAATCTGTCTTTACTATTCCTGACAATCTCCCGCTTTCTGAGGCTGAAATCTCTGTTTTGAGCAAAGGTCTCAACTTTATTCCTATTTMTAGAAAAACTGATGTTTTTCAAATCAACAAAGATTCTGAATCTTTCTTTCGTCGTACTCGACTCAAAGCTTTTTTTCATGCTGATAATTCTTCGACAAATACTTCTGATCGTGATATTTTTCAACTCCTCAACCCGCGTAAATCTAATTGGATCCCCCCTGAGGGCCAATTTGCTTCTTTAGATTTATTCATTAACAAATGTCGTCACGATCTTTCTACTCTCAACTTTAAACGTAAACTTAATTTTTCCAACCTTTCCACTGATGAATGGACGGCACTTCGTAATCTTCGCTCTCGTACTGATATCACCATCAAGCCCGCTGATAAAGGTGGTGCTGTTGTCGTTTGGCGCACCGATGTGTACAAAGAGGAAGCTTTACGCCAACTCTCGGACACCAATTTTTACCTTGAAATCAACAAAGACCTCACACCTACCTACCAGCAAACTGTCAAAGACACTATTAACTCTTTTATTTCTGACGGCAGTCTTCCAGCTACTGCCAACAATCTTATCATTAACACTCCCCGCACCTCTCATGTTTACTTTTTACCTAAAATTCACAAACCTAATAATCCTGGCCGTCCTATTGTATCAGCTTGTAGTTGTCCCACCGAACTTATTTCTAGCTTTCTTGACTCTCTTATGTCACCTATCGTTCAGACTCTACCCACCTACATTAAAGACACTAATCACGCCCTCAGGATTTTTAATGACTTTCATTTTCAAAATTCTCAATCCAAGTTTTTATTTACCATGGATGTTAAATCTTTATATACCGTCATTCCTAATGATGAAGGTCTCAATGCTCTCAAACATTTTTTTGATCTT